AGCCTTCTCTTTCGGTTGTAAAGAAACGAAAAAAAGTAGTAAAAAGAAGCGACCGGCGCACTCTTTTCCACTGTTTAAACGTGGTTACTGTAATTTTTTATAATTTTTTTGTCAGGTGGGGCTAGAGGGGTTAGGAGGTTATTTTAGGGGAGGGTAGGGGAGAAAGGGTGCGATGACAGTTGTGTAGGGTAGATTAAGATTGGATAGGGTAAGGAAGAGCAGAATAGGCTAACATAAGTTAGGGTAAGGAAAAGCGGGGCAGGTTAAAGACGGATAGAGTAGGGTAGAGCAAGGTACTGTAAGTTAAGGAAGGGAAGGGCAGAATAGGACAGGGAAAGACAAATGATAGCATGACAGGGCAAGGTAAGGCAGGGCATGGCAGAACAGTACAGGACTGGATAAGGCAAGGCTAAACAAGGCAAGGCAGGTAGGGTAAAGTAGATTATGTTAGGCTAATGTTCGGTAAGCTAACCTAGTACTAGTAAAAGGCTTTATTAGGGCTAGTATAACATAATTTTCAAAAATAAGAAAAAAGTTTAAAACTTCATAAATTGTCAACATTATCCACCTTCCCATCCAACTTTGTGTCTTCGAAAAGTGTGTGTGGGGACATAAAGGAGAACATAAAACACTTTCCGGAAGATAAATGGGATTACGGTGTCAATGTTTGTGTTTGCAATGAAATACGACTGACCGCGGCAGTTAACAAAAAAAACGTTTGGACTAGCCAGAAAGGGCGGTGATTTGTTGGTAATGGCCTATTAGTGCTCTTACTCTGTTAAGTTTTGTTAGTTTTACGGAAAAAGGCACATTTTTTGGAAATTTTTAAATGGGATGGGTTAATTTTAAAAATATATTGATTTAAAAATGGCAGAACTAAAGCTTACAAAGTTTAGGGTAGGACGGGAGGAAGGTGAGGTTAAAGCATGTTAGGGTAGGCATGTTAGGGTAGGGCATGGTAGAGTAAAGCATGTTAGGGTAGGGCATGGTAGAGTAAAGCATGTTAGGGTAGGGCAGGGTAGGGTAGAGAAAAGCATGTTAGGGTAAGGCATGGTAGAGTAAAACATGTTCGGGTAGGGTAAAGTAAAGCATTTTAAAGTAGGGTAGGGTAAAACACTGTTGTTTATGACAAGAGTTATCCAATAGTTGGGCATGGTAGTTTTATATTTTTTTAGTTTTTTCTGGACTGCCTTGCCTCACCCAATTAGTCCAGTCTATCCTAATTCAAATTTTGAAACAACAACAAACATTTGCCTTTCTCACCGCACAATAAGTGTCAATCCCATTTAGCTATTTGTGCGACACTTCCGATCGCTGTCATTTTCAAATTGGCCTTTGATGTGGCGCGCGTTTGTCTCGAAGGCATCCTAAATCGGCGCGATTCCGATTGAGCTCGGGTAAAGTGTTAACAATAAGATTAGATATGTAATTGAGGGTCACTCTGGGCTTTGATTTCGCCGGCTGTGGAAGTTATTGTAGTGTTAAGCTCAATCTTGTTAAGATTTTAGTTTTTGAAAAATGAGTGTGGAAAAGAGGGGGGGGTAATTTTTTAGCTGGATTTTAGTACTAAAATACGCATTCTAAGGCTTTTTTGGTATTGTTTCTGGTAGTAGTACTAAAAAGTATTTTTGTTACTGGTTTGGACTAAAGGGATTTTTAATAATATTAGGTTGTTCAAATAATTCTGGGCCTTCTTTCAACGGAAATTTTCGGGTTAGGGGGCACAGAATTATTCGAACAACGTAATAGTATTAAGAAATATTTTTTTGTGTAAAAATGGTTCATTTGCACCATATAAATTTTGTTTTTGGTACTAGATGCTTCATTTGGTACTGTTTGGTTGAGCTACAATATTCTTCTTTAAAATTTTTTTTTTAATTTTGAAAGGCTTTTTGGCTAAAATAATTTTTTTGATACAGTTATCTAGCTAAAATACGATGATTTTTTTGTAATAAGTTGTCCCAATACGAATGCGGTTTTAGCTCATCTATTTTTGTACAAACTGACAATTTTTAAAGACGTCATTATAAACATCTGAAATATATTGTCATATCCACCTCACCCCTTCTTTATTACCGTACCCTCTAATCCGTCTCACTTCCCCCTCTTCACCAATTTGTCCAATAAAACTCGCGGCACACTTTAAAGTGCCAAGTCCCAACATTGGGTGTGATGTAACCGGCGATCACAACATAAAACAAAGACGTCTGGTGTCGGGATTATGTAGGTGTTATTGTTTACACATGTCAACCACACCATTATGTTATGATAGATTGGTTTCGACGGGATTTTGGGGGCTTTATGTGGCCGATGGGGGTTTATACAGTATGACAATTGAAAGTTTTAAGTTTGGAGTTAAAAGGTTTTTAAATTTTGAGTTTTAAGAATAGTAAGCGAGGGTAGGGTTACAGTAGGCAAAAGGTTAAATTAGACTTTGTCTATGGTAGGATTAGGTAAGGTAATATTGTGATAAGGCTAGGGTAAGATTACAGTAAGAGGAAGATTAAAGTAGTCTTTGATATGGATAGGGCGAGGTATAGTAAGGTTATGATGGGGCTAGGTAAAGTAAGTTTGTGATATGGCTAGGATAAGATTACAGTAAAAATAATATTAAACTGAGCTTTTGCTAGGGTAGGGTTTGTTTCGGTACAGTAAGCTTGTGATACGACTAGCATAAGACTAAAATACAAAAAAATGTATTTGTTGTAAGGTAGGACAAGAGTAAGGCTAAGATAGAGGTTGTTACTGCTAATATAGGCTAGTTCATTATATGTAAAATAAAGTACAGTAGAGTAAAGTATGATATAGCGCTAATATAAAGCATGTGCAGGGGATAGATTCATCCCTGTTCGTCCTCTGTACCTACTTTTACGGCTCAGGCACGGGATCCAACGTTCAGGCTTGGCCCGTTTTTATTTTTCTCAGACCAGCCTTGCTCGAATTTTATAATCCTTGAATAAAGTTACAAGGCGTTAAAGATGTCACCAGTGTTTTGCCGGACCCGTCCGGTCTGGACCGAGGTCCGGTCCGGACCGGACCGAAAAAAAAAAGTTCCGGACCTGCCCGGAAAAAAATTTTTTTTTTATTTTAATAAAACTGTTTTAAAAATTGCAAATAAAACATATTTTTAAGAGTTTTTAAGCGTAAAGAAAGCAGTTTTAGCGCTCCTGGCTCTTTTTAAAAATAAAAAAAAAATTTCCGGACCAGACTGGACCTGACCTTTTTGGTCCGGACCGGACCTGAGCGAAAAAAAATAGAGCCGGACCGGACCGAAAATTTTTCGGACCGGACCGGACCGAAAAAATTCTCATGCGGACCGGTCCGGCAAAACACTGGATGTCACAGTAGGCTCCATTTTTCTCCACAGTCATAATTTTGTCATTGAGGTAACTGGCACACTCGTGGATGGCTAGAGCTTGTGGTAAGGGCGCATCCTGAGCCATCAATTAATTTACATCAATCTACCGGACCCAACATCCTTTTACCACGTAATCATGTTGTCCATCCTGTGTAACTCAACTTCTTTCATGTTTAAATTTGTATGACAAACTCTTCTTTGTGTCTGTCACTTGGATAACCTACTATAACATCTTCTGACTATGTTTAGCTTCTTTTTCCTCTTATGCGCAACTTGTTATACCGGCTATCCTTTCTTTCCAGGACATCTTCCTTTGTCAATCCTTAATTGGCATTAAAGGAAATCATGTTTGGAGGGGTAAATATGACAACAAGCATGTTGGGATGGGCTGAACATTGTGGATGTGTTAATGAGTTGATTTATGTTGCATTTGACTTCATACCGCTTTCCAGGGTTGACGTGTGTTGGGAATACGAACAGGTTTTTGGGTTGTATTGATGTTTGTTTATACAGTAGGCTTGTGCTATAGATGATGGTTTTGACGAGATTTTGTTGGGGGGGGGGGCATTTATTATGTGGCTGAACCGTGCTCATAGATTAAAGTAGGTTTTGCTTTGGTTAGGGTTAGATAAAGTAATTTGTTTTTTGATGTAGAACTAGAGTAAGAAAGGGGTTACGGTAGAAACTAGCATAACTCTATATTGTGCTAGTTTTTAGAGTAATCCCTTTTCTTACTGTGGTTCTATGTTAAATTATTTGTTACAGTAACTTTTCATCTTACTGTAACTCTACATTGCGATAGTTTTTACTGTAACCTTTTTTCTTACTGTAGTTGTATGTTATGCAAGTTTAAAACAGTTTAAAGTTGTTCTAATTGTAAAGGTGTGTAAAGTGGATTATGGCAATATTATGATTTATAATTGGCCAAGTTTTGACACATTTTACAATCTCTGCCAGACGCGCCGGATATTAAACATGTTGTCCTCGGCAAGGTGTATATCTTAAACAAGGTTTATTGATGAAAAGCTCTTTCTATTGATGCAGTACATCTACTGTATGGTCTTGTAGTTTTAATTATCTTATTTTCACATTGTATATGACATTTACTTTGTAGTAAGTCTTGACAGAAGTTCTTTTTTTACCCTTACAGTAACCCAAACCTTCAACTGATAGCATGTCCAACGATAACTGCCAAACCAATACCAATAACTTGGCAAATTGGTTTAAAAGCAGTAAAATAAGATATCTTGTCTAGTAAGACGTCTAGGAAGATGTCACGCTATCAAATTTCGCAGTTTTTGACACATGTCTTTTGGATGGGTTACGGGTATGTCGATTGGCCATAAAAAGGCGGTCCGTGGCCAAGGTGTGGGACAAAGTTAACGGGTGGTAAAATATGATATATATTGTTCTTGGCCTGGTTCGAATATTGATTTGGGGGTTTTGGGTTACGGTAACAATTGGTTTTTTACTTAGGCTACAGTAAAGCTTTATTTTACTGTATTCGGCTCGTTTTTTATCTTGTCTTCAACTTATAAAAGGCAGTAGATAGACTCGCGTATTTTACTAATTTTTTACATTGTAAAAGTTTACAGTATCCTTACAATACATTAATATACAGTTTCAGCCAGCTATGTCAAAGATGCCTTTCTCAGCACTAAACGGGTACCAGCAGCCGAGTACGGCCTTTCTACCGGTCTTCAACCCATTAGCACCATTAAGTATACCATTAGTACAGATGCTACAGAACTGTAACAACATATCACCCAACACATCGTATCTCAGCAGTCCTGTCACCCCGAATCCGGTCGATTTCTGGCTACGACTGAATGAAGTTCGACGACAAAGCATGGTGAACAATGGCATGTCATCAAGTTCGTCTACCCCTGCCAAAGCCACATCTGAAAGTCCGTCGAGTTCGAAACAGAAGAGTGAATCGCCTTCTGACTTCAGGAGAATTGAGACTTTGATTCAGTTCGATGAAGTTAAGAAGGAAAATGAACCATCGTCGTCTGGTAAAGACAATGGAAGAGAGTGTCCTAAGTGTGGAAAACACTTCACAAGGCCATGGCTACTACAAGGTCATATTAGGACTCATAGTAAGTTTTTTGTACAAGCAGGATGGATCTTGGTATGGTGGGGTTGCTTCTTCTGAAAACAGTTTTTAACTTTTCTAAATTTGGTATTTTTAGCTGGAGAACGACCATTCAAATGTGACATTTGTACCAAAGCTTTCGCCGACAAATCAAATCTTCGAGCTCATCGACAAACACATTGCAGTAAGTTTTATTTTACTTACTCTATCCTACTCTATCTTATCCTACTCTTTCTACGCTATCTTACCCTACCCCACTCACATTACTTTGTCCTAACTTACTTTACAATAATAACTTTTTTTAACTGTAAGTTTTTAGAAGAGAAAAAGTACATTTGTCAGCGATGTCATAAAGGATTTGCCCTAAAGTCGTATCTATCCAAGCATCAGGAGTCGAGTTGTAACAGTCGACACATGAAACTGCCACCAATGTTGCCATTCTTTTATCAACACAAACAGGAGTACTCTTAACTTGAGACAAGAGTAGTGCTGGTGACTTCATTTCAGTACTATTTTAATACTATTAAGTTGTTAAAATAATTCTGTGCTTCCTCTAAAAAAAGTTTTGGTGATAGGGGCACAGAATTATGTGAACAACGTAATATTATAATACTAGGCCAGTACTGTTGGTAATTTAAGATTTTGGTACTGACTCAGCATTACTATTGTACTGAAAATAGTATTGTATTACTAAGCCAGGCTAATAGCTGTACTATCTCATAATACTATATTAGGGTAGTTTTAGTACGGTGCAATGTACTGTTATTGTTAGAGCTGTCATTTACTGCCATATCGTTACCATTGTAGTCATTGTAAATAATCATATTGTTATCTCTTTACTATGTATCTAATATTAATATATAACGAGAAATAAATAAATCATACTGTAATTTGGATTAATAAATACTACAATCATAGTAAAATCGTTTTTTTCACAGTAACTTTAAGCAAATATAAAGTGCCAAAACAAATGTCATATAATAGTTACAAGGCGCTGAAGATGTCACAGTATGTCCAATTTTCTCCACAGTCATAATTTTGTCATTGCGGTATATAGCACACTCGTGGATGTCAAGAGCTCGTGGTAAGGGCTCATCCTAAGTCATCAATTAATTTGCATGACTTTACCGGGCCCGGCACAACCTCTTTTTACAATGTAATCATGTTGTAAATGATGTATAACTCAGCTTCAAAAAATCAATATTGGCATTCCATCACCATAAACCTTCAATTTTTTAAATCCAACAATAATTTATTATGAAATAACAAAAGATAGTAACAAACTCATTATTATAACTACGGTTGATAGAAAGATGAACCGGCTTTGTATGACATTAGATATAGCCAAAGAAGATGACATTAGACATGACAAAACAATATTAACCGAGATTTTTAAACAATCAAAGAATAAAACATAACAAGATATTATTGTATTTTCCTTACATAATCAATATTTTAGGCTATAATAGCGTTTACTGTAACATACTATCATATAATGGCGTTTACCGTAACATACTGTAGTATAATGACATTTACCGTAAATCAAACATATGTCGTACAAAACGTCAAATGTGAGCATCATATGATCTTATGTTCATTATGTAGTGACATACCCTAACTTAAAGATGCTCTTGATAAAAACAAGGCCAGCTTCATGTTAAGTTTACATATAACTTAACATGAAGCAGTAGTAACTGTCGTACAGTGCGTTCTAGTACATAAACATATATAGCCATTTACACACCAGTACAGCCATAGATAACACCTTAGTCAGCCATAATTAACATTTTAACCCAAAAAAAGGTCATACAACAACATATACAACAAAAAATTAAAAGATACCCATGAAATTACAAAAAAAGTACCAATGCTCCAAAAATGCCATTAAAATAATCAAAAAATACCGCAAAGACCAGTCCATGCTCGATAGACGTATTTTACCCGTTGAATAACAAAATTGCATGTACATATGACATTAAAGTATATATTAATATTAAGAGTTTTAGGTTAAACATATAATAACATAGAGTATTAGATGAAGCATATATTAATATTAAGATGAATATCGATATTAAAAGCTGTAGAACTTTCAAAAACAAAAATTTTGTACATTTTGCACTTCAAAAGGCGGTTTCCACATTGCCATTATGATTGTTGGACTGAAGCAGCTTTTGATAGGGATCGTTGAGGTATTCGTGGGATGGAGAGTCTTAAAGTCGTATATTAACTTAGTATATCAATAGCTATAGGTACCTCTAGCGCATTGACATCGCTACAGATTTTTTAAAAATAGTAGAAACCCCTTCCCATGAGGCCGTCGTTGCTCTAGCTTTTGTCAACCTTGTGTTACAAAACCTCTAATAATAAAAAAACAAAAATGCCAAGAAACTAGACCAGGCAGAGAACCCGCTAAGTCCGATCAAGCCCCAGGTCAGACCAAAACAAACTTGAAAAAAGCCGAGCCAAAAATTAAGCCAAAACTCAAAACCAAAAAAACGCAAAGCCGGGGTTAGAGCCAAAACCAAAAATTTCAAATCTGTAAACTAGATCTAATAATATCTTTTTGAAGCCTTACCACTCGAATTAACAATGACAGGCGTGTAAACCGTGCCGTTCTCCGTTGGTTCAAGTGCACATTTTGGTTGAAGATAGCTGTCTTCTCGTTGACTTTCAGAGGTTCGAGGCATGGTTGAGTTCATGCTGATGCTTCTGTCACCAAACTAAAATAATATCATAAAATATTTTTTAGCTACAAAACAGTACCGTGTAGTACTGAAGGTCAAACCACCTCCAAACCAAAAAACAACTACACTCCCCCCCCCCTCCCTCCTCCTAAAATCTAAAAAAAACGCTCTCCACCCCCAAAATACAAAAAACCCCTACCGGATTCCTATGGCCAAACTGACTGCTAGTCGGAGTGTCTGGAAGGAAAGTTTCTTCCGTATTTTCGCTTCTACCCCGTCGAATCGGACCATAATCGGTTGGATCCAGCTCTAATGGATTCTCAAAGTCACTGTCCTGAAGCATTTGTTCGATCATTGACCGCTGTTCCTTATCAGATATCGATTCCATTTGACTGACTGCTTGTCGATCTTGGACATAGAGGTGGGGTGCTCGGGCAAAGCTTTCGAACTTCTCTTTTAGCTGACGGAAGGTCGGGCGACTTTCGGCGTCGTTTAGCCAGCCTGGAAAATTGCAAAAAAATCAAAAATTTTAAAAATTAAAAAATTAAAATAAAAAAAATAAAAAATTTTTTAAAAATCAAACAAAAATTTAAATTTCTTTTAAAACCCACAGTTCAAAAGTTGTTCGTAGAGTTCCTGTGAGCAGTTGAAAGGTTGTTTTAGTCTGTGACCTCTTTCCAGTAAATTCGCAAATTCTGTGGCAAAGTTGTAATTCGTAGTGATTGGCTGTAAAATGGCCTGTAGCTCACGGTACGGTGGTTCTCCAAAGGTCAAGATCTCCCAACATGTAACGCCAAAGGCCCAGACGTCAGTTCTTTCATTGAAAACGTGCGATCTCAAGGATTCTAGGGCTAGCCACTGAAAAATAAAGTCATAAGAACACAGTAAGTTACAGTACCTTTAAATTTTCAAAAATTTAAAATCTACCTCAAATTAAAAGTAAAATTTCGAAATTTGTTTAAAATTTAAAAAATATCCCTAAAGCTTTAAAAAGCTAGCTTAAATGTGAAAAAAAAAGTTAAATGCCACTTTAAATTTAAAAAAAATAAAAATTTGCAAAACGTTTCAAAGCATCCTACCTTAACCGCCACCCTGCCCTCCTTAATAACCACAGTATTCTCGTTGTTTTGCAATAACTGTGCTAGACCAAAGTCAGTAACCTCAACATGGTTAATATTCTTAACCAACACGTTTCTAGCAGCCAAATCTCTGTGGACAATCTTCTTCCTGGCCAAGAACTCCATGGCCGATGAGATTTGGTACTGATAGAGTACGAGTTGTTTCGCTCCCAATCGTTGTTTATATTGTTGTAGGAACTTGAGTAAAGAGCCCAACGGTCGCAAGATTGTGATAATTTTGATTCCAGATTTGGCGAAACAGACCCCTACGAGGGGGAGAAGATGTTCGTGTCTGACCTTGCCCATGACACCGGCTTCTTTCAGCATCTCGTTCTCTGTGACATTCTTGGTTTCGGCTGGGTTTATGGCTTTGATGGCTACTGGGATAGAGGTGTTTCTGCCTGGTGGGGTCCATTTGCCCTATAATGATTGATAAAGTTATGAAAATACTAAAAAGTTCTAAAAAAGTTTAAAAAATTTTAAAAGTCAAAGAAATTTTAACAAAATATATAGTAGTAAGAGTAAGATAGTATAATATATAAAAAACACATTTCCATAAACTTTTTGACCTCAAAAAACAAAATTCCATACTTTTTTGCCAGAAAACCAAAATATTTTAAAAAACAAGCAAACCTACAGCATAAACAATGCCAAAAGCCCCTTGGCCAAGGATGTTTCTTCCAGTATCATCCAATTCGTCCGTACTGATCAGAGTAAATCTGCCCATATTCGGCCGTTGTGTTCTCTGAAATCCAATTTTTATTGTATTTTCTAGAGAAGATTCCAAAGTTTTTCAACTTTCTATTTAAGAAAAAACGCCAAATTTTTAAATTTTGTTACCTAAAAACACTTTTTCAGGTTTTACTACCTAAATCATTTTCAATTCTTAATTTATATCTTTCTTTAACGTTTTATTACCTAAACTCCTCAAAATCATAAACTTATTACCAAAAAACTAAACATCTTTCAAAAATTTTAAAAATTCCTCCCCCTACCTTATTAGTATCGAGTTCAGGGATCTCAGGCATATGCATCATGGCCTCCTTTTCGTACTTCTTTCTGTACTTTACACATCTCGACACCAAGATCAGTATTATGACCGAAGCTAGAATGAAAGCCGCTGCTACCACTCCAATGATAAGTTTGCGACGTCTTGCTAAAATAGCTTCTGTGTCTTCTGCTCGACATACGCCAAGGTATGGATAGGGTAGGTCGTCTGGGCATGCTGGTAGGCATTCCTACAAGATAATGTCAGATTTTCTGATAAAAAAAGCTGTATTTTAACCACTATTGTACCTTTAAATCCCAAAAAAGTTCAGTTTTTTCAAAAATGTACAAATTAAAGTACATTATAGTAATCCTACAGTAAACTAAAATATTCAAAAATTAAGTAACTTTGACAAAATAGCTTACTATAGTGTCATCGTCTGTGTATATTCCTCCAATTCGACACTGTTCACATTCAAACTCAGTCGAACCAAAGCAGCTGAATTCTGGATCACATAGTTCATGACATCGTTCACAGATCTGTCCTGTACCGTTGTTCGAATTCTCCAGTAGTCGAGAGCCTCTGAACAACACAATTTAATTTAGTATGGTAAAGCAGAATAAAGGTAAACGTAGGGTTAGAATAGAGTAAAGTAGGCTAACTTAGATCAGGGTATAGTAGGCCAAAGTAAGGTAAGAAGTATAAAGTAAAGTAGAATAAAATAGAGTAAGGTTGAGTAAATAGGGTAGAGTAGGATAAGATAGAATAAGGCAAATAGGTTAGGATAAGGTAGAGTAAGATAGAGCAGGACGTCATAGAGCAAGGCATAAGATAGGAGAGTAATATAGAACAGAGTAAAACAAGATAAAGAACGATGCTATAGTAAAACAGTACTTACTGTCCACAAGTCAGCGTGCATTCATCTGGAAAATCCATGAGATCCGACCCATTCAACATGTAACTCAAAGGTGTTATCAAAGTGAACTTGGCACATTCACAGTCGTTGGCTAATGTTGTTGCTCTTGAACATGAGCTGCACTCTTCTGGACACTTCTCACACATCTAAAATTAATTTTACTATAATTATACCATAAAAAATCTTATTTTAAATTTAAAAATTTTTTTAAAAATATCTTTATTAAAAGTTTATAGAGGTAAGTACAGCATAAACAACGCCGAAAACTATTTTTAAGTTCAAATAATCGTTAAAACTCACAAATTTAGTATTTTTATCCTTAGTCGAAGCCAGACTAAGATGATGATCTTCATACCCATTATTCTTACAAACAGTCTCCTCTGATTCGCCCATTAAACAGTTGATTCCTTTGCCATTTCTGACCGCAAACAGGCACTTATTGCAGCCTCCCATGCCCAAAAACGTGCCATTTCCAGTACAACCATACTCGTAACAAGCTGGGTTGCATTTCTTACATTGATGCGATTCCTGGTAAGTGTCCGCTGGGCATTGGCGGACACATTTCATCTTGTTACCGACTGTTTTTGGCATTTCAAACCACCGACAACGTGTGCAATCCGAGTCGGTTGGACCGTTGCAGCGGAGACATTCATCGGCACATGGTTTGCATTCGGCGCGGTTTTGGCGTGGTATAAAGTATCTGAAAGTGATTTTTGTTAAACTTCTTAAAATTTCGCTAATTTAAATTTTTTTAAAATTTATAAAAATTTTTCAATTTTATTGTTCTTTCTATACCATTTACATATAATAATTAATCCTAAATTCAAAAAACATCCATATTTTACTAAATTATTACCTAAAATTTCAAATTTCAGCTTAAAATCTCAAAAACATTTTTTTTCTAATCGAAAAATTAAAATTTTCAAAAAAATGTCAAAAAATCGTTAAAATTAAGCCAAAAGTTCAAATTCATTAAGTTGTTCAAATAATCCTATGTCCACACAAAAACTTGATTTGAGAAAGGCACGAAATTATTCGAGCAACCTAATACAACCACACCAAAAACTAAAAACATACCCATCATGAGTAGGGCAAGTCTCGGAACAATATCCGTCTTTTGTAAAGTTCAAGCACTTTACACATTGAGCTGGTCCTGGCCCCCAACAACCATATTCGGGATGACAAGTTGAATCACATACTCGGCCCAGGTGCTCTGGAAATGTAAAACACGGAGTAATTTTTGATAACGACAAAGAAGTTATTTCTGATATATAATTATAACTCTGAAAAAGTCTAAAAAAGTCTTGTCGTTTCTGACCATTAAAAATAATGTAAATCGGCGACAAGACTTGTTTAACCTTTTAAATCAAAATTTTTTTTTATATTTAACAAGAGGTAAATTCCAAACCCACCACAAGTCTGGTTGTTCATGTTCTCCTTTATGACAATGTCCTTGATGCCATACAGCTTCTTGAATGGTATACCTTGTCCATAGCACAAATTCTTGTTTTTGGTCAACGAAACCCCTCCATTAGCCACCTTTCTCAATGAATTCAATCCCAAAGACTGTAAATAATCATTGCCAATGGCATATATCGAATATTTCTTGAAGTATAGTGTTCTTCCTTCGATTACTTCCAAACTTTCGAGGAAATCAAGTGATCTTGGTCCGTCAGCTCCTAAAATCCGCCATTTTTAAATGATTGTTCATTTTTTGTTGTATTAAATCAATTGATTTTTAAAGATTAAACCAATATTAATTATATAAATTCGCAAATATCAAAAAAACCTTCAGGTTTGAGTCAAAAACAACCAGAAAACTATATTATCCATGAGATCAGAGCCATGAATGATATAAAATCTAACTTTTTCTAAACTTTGTCTACTATCTACTATTTCTATACTCAATATAAATTTTTATTTTATATTTTAAACTATTCAACAATCCGTATTTTACAACGCAATCCTTTTTGAAAACATCCGATTGTATAAAATGTCCCCGCAGCCTGCAATAATCTTTCCAACCTGCGCCCCACCTTCAATTTTAATTTCTCTTCAAAATTAAATAAACCTGCCATTATCAATTCATTCCTCTCATTGTCAATTCAAAGATACTCGAAACTCCAACAATTTATTAAATACCCACCCCTTTTGACGCCTCCATCAAGTGCAACATGTCCAGTGACAATCTTGACAGTCTTCAACATATTCAAGTCTTCCAACTTCAACGGTTCGATCAAGACCGGTCGATTTTTGTCCATTTGATGTGATTTGAGTAGAGGTAAATGTGGACTGAACACGTGGTTCAGTACTTCAATATTGCCTTCGATCTCCGAACAATTAACCAGTTGTTTTATGTTATGGGAGTTGATTGGTTCGTTCAGAGTGCAGACCTTGGGGCATGTACCGTCGCATGGGACACAGTGACGTTCATCACCTAAAATTTGAAACTAGAAGTTATGGGATGAGGTGATCTACCATACTTGGGTCATACTGTATGATACTTAAGGCCTACATATGCCCTACGGTACCTAGACCCTATCTTAATAAAACTACCCTACTTTAACCATACCCACCCCCAACATATTCCTCCCTACCACCACTTACCACTCGGATCCCTGTACTTCCCCTCGCTACACCTGGCAACACAATACCGGTCCTCAATCAACGTGCCAGCCGGACATTGTTGTACACAGTGCTTCTCGTAGTAGTACCTTTTCTCACTGTCAGGCATGGGTTGCATTATCATCAGTGCACTATTGTACCTCGAAGTACCTCTACATTCCGTAACACATCGACCATCTTCTTCGTAGTTCAAACAGGCCACACATTGATCTTTACCATCACCATAGCACCCGCCAAGACATGCTTCATCACAACAATGGGTATTGTTGGCCTTGTCTTGATAACATTGACCAGATGAGCAGCCCAAACATTGTCGACGGTATACTGTAAGTTTTTAGGTATAGAAATGTGGTTTGATAGAAAAAATTAAATCGAGGCTGAAAATGTCCAAAAAACTAGAAAATCTTCCCTTCGGCTTCAATACCTACCTGTCTGACACTCCTTTTCAGTTGGTCCAAAGCAATTTCCGTTACATTGAGAATGACAAACTAATTCACCAGCACAATCCGGAGCGTTTTCATCAACAAAGACCAGCCTTTGTTGATAATCAGAGCCTAGTAACTAAAAAAGCAATTTTTATATTGTACTTGACCATCAGTTCCAAAAATTTTTTAAAAATTGATAAATGTTGCTGTTTTTCAAATAAAAAGTAACAATTTTAATCAACATGAGTTTTTTAGACTCTTAAGCTATTAAGAATTATATTTACCTCGCTAAAATCGACCGTTTGCCTGAAAAAACAAAGCCTCGGACTTCTCCTTATCAATATCTTTCCTTGATGTATTTCCCTCAACTGTGGTAGATTTACAACCTTCAAAAAAGGATTAGAATCCAACTGTAAAGAATTTCCATCATGTAACTTGTCTCCCCATATGATCTTCAACGCTGGGAACGATATTTCCTTGACTTCGACGTTGTACAACAACAGGTATCCCGTTATCTAAAATAATATCGGTTTAATCGTTTTTTATTTGAAAATTGTTTTCAAACACCACTTTTTACAGCTTTATTTACAATATACATTCTTTAATAAATAATTTTTTACTTTATACTAAAAAATTTTTAGGTAACAAAAAAATAATGTAATGGACGTTAACAACAAATCTTATCAAAGTTAATCAAAATACCTCTTCTAAATCATGTAAAAACCAAAACGGTGTCCTCCTCGTCTGCACCTCCGTCCCATTTGGCAATCGTCGTATGTCCACATCAAAGATAAGATCCCTCTGACTAATGTGACTAATCTCCAAATTACCAATGATTCGTTTACAACGAACAAAACTCTTCAATAACATTTCGTATCTTGTCTCATTTACCAATGCGCCGGCAGCAGTTCGGCCGTTAGACGTGCCCAAACAAACTAAAAATATATTACACTTGAGGTTTTATGGAACCGTTGCTAAAAATTGGTAAAATCGCTATATCAGGTATGAATTACTAAGCGAAATAGGTAAGAATAGAAGGACAACACAACAAAGGATAAACACAATGATTTCTGGGTAATAAAAACAAAATTTAGGTAACAAAAGGACAATTAACAGCACAAAACCAGCTCTGTTAACTTGCCTTCCTGATCGTTAACTGTCCCTGTAAAAATTAGATAGCATTAGTAGTGTTAGATGTTTTTTTTTTGCTTTTTTGATGTTAGTAGACATATATTTATTAAATATAAGCGATTTAAGGCAAAAAAAGCCAGTTAATACCAAAAATCTTCAGATTTTAAAAGAAATAGACCTATATTTGACTTTTATTGCCATTATATAACTAAGATAAACACATAAAATAATTTTTTCTAAAAAAGTAACATACTAAATAACATTATCTTTCTATAACAATCAAAAGTTAACGGGTTTCACGCAACAGAATAGAAGGAACAATCAAAATTATATTATTCATGACCACCAGATGTGCCACAGCTTCGTTTCAATTTTTAAACTATTTACTATGAGTTTAACTATTTAAAATAAGCAAGACTAGCTTCTCTACAAGCTTTTTAAACTTGGAAGCATCAAATTTGACCCAGAATTCGCCTAATATTAACCACCTAAACAACCCCATACCAGCTGAACCTTCGTGCCAATCAAAATCAATCAAATATCAAAATACTTACACTTCCTCTGTGCCGGTAACAGATACGTATCTCCATCCTTGTACAACAAGTTGTTCGACCCATAAACGAGGTGGATTAGTAGGGTTAGTAAAAGTTTAGTGATCATTTCATAGCTCGATCATGTATAATATAAGTTAATGCCTGAAAACAAAATTTTTGAGCGAATCGTTACGAGTAATGTTTATGGCACGGAGATGTCGGAATTTGATAACAAAACATATAAATTATTATTCGAAATTGGGCAAATAAATTTAAAAAATTGCGATAATTCGCGGCTTGCGACGGAATGCCAGAGAGAAGGAAAGCTGCTAAAGGTATGAGGTTTTCAAGTTTAAAATCGGCCAAATATGACAATTGTGGTATAATTGGGCAATTTTATAACAAAATATGTAGTTCTTGCCATTTTAAATCATGTTTTTTAAACAAAAATGTCCGATAACTCAAAAAGCGCCCAAAAACTGAAGTTGACCACTGAAAAATAACCATAACTTTTAAACTACAATTTCAAAACAGATCAAACTTTTTACATACATTCCTCATGTCATATGCTATCATTACTCAAAATCTCAGCCAAATCGGCCAACAATACTTTGAGTAAAAAATTTTCAAAGTAAAGTTGTTATCTAAAACAATATTGGCATGTTGCGTATTTAAAGTAATGTCAAATTTCAGCAGAAACGCATCTCGCATCGTGTAAAATATTAAAATCTTTCGAATTCTGCGCAAATATTTGCTTCATTCAGACTCGAAATTTGTGTAGAATCTTTCAGAATCCGATACTTCCTTTATTACAAGCTTTATGGCTTCTGGAGATGGTTTTTGGGTACGAGGCTATTATAAAAACGTATTTTTAGTAAATTTAGACACAAAGTTTTATTTTAGGTGTTATTTAAAAGGTAAATTCATTTAACTTTCAAAAAACTCAAGTTTTTAAAAATTATTTGCGCAGTGCAGTAAATTTAAAAAAATATATAAAATTCATTTAAAAATGAATAAAAATGGTTCACAATGCGATATACAAACCAAAATAAACATTCCAGAAGATAAACTGAACAGTTTGTCTTGGATGTTTAAAAGGCGATACGAAGGTATAAGGTGATAATATACGTGTGCTCTATGCTGTTCGGCCTAGTATAATATAAAAAACGAATAAAAACTGAATACTTTGCTGTAATAATTGAAGAACAAGACAAGGTTTTTGCTAGAAAATATTGTTTTTTAAATTATTCTTTAATCGTTTCAAAAAAATTAAAAATTTGGTTAAAGCAACCTTTACCGTGCCCATACAAACCCTGACAAGAGGCACACTAAGCCCTGCCTCGGGCAAGCTGAGCCGGAGAAAATGTTGGCTCAGTGAATTTCAGAACCCAAACAAAGGTCCCGTCTTTTATACGTCTAGCCATACCTTGTCCCAACCTAACCTTTACCATTATCCCTATGATACAACACTTTTCTACAATTAGTGGTACGGTAGAGATACAACTCTGCACCTACTTTAACTCTACCGTGTGCTTACTTTGCTTCTATCTCGCCTTATTTGAAACAGAATCCGCGTGCTAATGATATGATTTCAACCCAACAAAAAAGATGTCGTATTTTAGAAATCCTCGGCCAAAGATAATTTGTGGCCAAAAGTTTAATGACGTTACAACAAAGTATATAATGGAATTCAAATTCCAGATCAAGTGAGAACAAAAGAGAATCCAGACTAGCTGGGGAACTTTTTTGGCCACCAATGTCGCCACTTTAAAACAACTTTTCTTTTTTTATTGTTTTTTAGCTAACAAGAAAGTATGCTAATTAAGTATGGTTTGCTACTAAATTTGTCATTTTAAACTTTAAAAATCTAACAATATATATTATCTATGGCTATTTTGTGTGTTTTATAGTAAAATAGGTTAATTTAAAGGCGAAAGACAGGCTAAATCCGCTTTTAAAGCCCGGTCCAGGCCCGGAAACCACATTTAAAGCCCAGCCCAAGCCCGGGAACCAACTTACAGGCCGGACCGATTCAAATTTCTCTCAATGTCTGCAATCCCTATTTACTTTAACACCCCCCACCCCTCCCCTCCCCAAGTTTAACAATTGAACCCCGAGCAACAATTGCAATAAAAAGTCAGATTTTTATGGCCCGAGGCGCCAAACCAACAAAAAATAATCACGTGGATTCACATTTTGACGAGAAAAGCCGGAAAAGGCTCTCGATTGATAATATGTTGATAACAAGAACTCCGTTTTAAGCTGCAATTTGAAACGGGTTATTCAAACAAAGTCTTAGTGGAACGCCTTGGAACGTTTAAGGTTTTTAATGTTTTAGGCAACAATGGTGGGTCTATTGCAGAATATTTTGATGCAGATGACTCTGGTTATAAGTAGCATACAAAAATTTTCTGCTTTTCCATCTCGTTCCCCCCCCTCTCCCCCTCACTAGACCTAAAAAGAGGTCCAAGCTCGGTCTCGGTTCTAAGCAAATTTGAAAAAGGTCCAAGTTGAAAACTAAGGCCAGCCGAACCTGTTTACTAGTCAAACCCCTCACTCCTTCCCCACTCCCTCCTCTAAAAGATTGTAGACCCCCCCCCCCACGTGACCTGAAAAGGCGACTACTAAGTTCGGCCATTGACCAAACCAGATTTGAAAAATGCCAATCTGAAAAATTGGGCACAGCTTCTTACAGCTCTAACTACCCCTCCTTCTCCACCCCGGTTATACCGCCAAAAAATTTTAAGCATCCTCTCTCTTACTCCCTCCCCCCCCCCTTCTCCACTAAAACAAATTTTTTGAAAGCGCAATGATATACTTAACAAGGTTTTGAATATGAAAAGTTAAAAACCACAAGGTATCTTAATAACATCAACCTATCGACCAGACAAGCTAAAACATCATAGTGCTTATGAAAGCGAGAACAGTGAATCATTGGGAATTAACGTTCTTCTTATTTACAGCAAAACTAAACCGATAAAAAAGCCACAGTCCAAAGAATTTGCAGGATAGTTTTTAAGTAAAATACGTTCCTTTTTATAGTTAATATGCCAAGTTTTATAAGCTCAATAAACATAAAATACGGCTAGAATCGAAAGTTTAAAACACCGCGATCATCAAAAGTTTCGGTCAGTAGCAGCGGTCCAAATCACTTTTATTGTCTAAAGTGCCGATCTCTCGCTGTGATCATTTGCATTGTTTTTCTAAACAAAAACGAGTTTTCAACAACTTCAAAACGGCTTCAAGTTTTCTAGGTTTAGGCTAGTTCGAAGAAGCTATTTTTTCATCCCTACCTACCCTACTCTACCCCACCCTACCCTATAATAGTTGTTAACATAATATTGTAGTAGCTGCAAAATTAAAAATATATTTTTTCGCTACTGTAATACCACAACAAGCCGGCCGAGCCCGAATATCAAGGGCCAATAAACCAGGCCTGTTTGCACTTAAACAAATTCGAGCCGCCCGAGCCAGCCGGACCTGAGCAAAGTTTAGATCGAGCCAGGCCTAACACTAACACTCAGGCCGGCACGTTCGTCATGTCTGCCCTACCCTATCCTAAGCTATGTTATCCTATCCTACCGTTTTATACAACAATCTACTCTGATCTATCATACCCTCACCATATCTTACCTACCCTACCCAGTATTACCCTCCTTTTTTTCAGATCACCAACTACTTTGTGACAATTGATTGCAACCAGACCCCCAGAACAACGTGTTTACTCTTCATCTTGATACATTAAACTACCAAAGCCAAGTTTTACTCTAACCTAGTACTACGGAACCTTTCAACCCTTGCCCTATCTTATAGTGAAATATACAAAAAGTACAGAAAAGTGCATTCCCGAGCTCCAAGTAAGTAAACCCTTTCTGAGTCGACCATGAAACGCTAGCGATAGTTAAATGAGGCACAAAAATAATATTCATCAGAAGGCATAGGCATATTAAAGAATATAAGCATTGTAGAGCATATAGGCATTTTAGAAACCTGAAAATGTTGGGGCAAAAAATAGTTGGGAAAGGCCGTGGAGATTAATGAGTCGCACTTTTTCACAACTTTCTTCCGGATTTATTGAATAAAAAATTACTCGCCAACTTGGCACCTTACTTCGTAAATGTCAGGTTGGAAACGTGGTTGATTAATTGGGTAAAAGATACGAAAAAAACATAAAATTTAAAATTGTTTTAAATTTTATTATTAAACAGGGGTTGATACTGGTGTGGGGGTGGGTGTGGGGAAAAAAAGAATTTTTGAAAAAAAATTTTTAAGGACCACCCCCCCCCCGCACTCCTACCCCTACAAATAAAAAAATTTATCAACGTCTACAGCTTGCGCAACTCATGCCAATTCATTATTTATTCGAAGCCGTATTAGCCACGGCTAATATGACCGGGCGGTGGCATCAAACGGTCAAGATGCTTAAAGTGTCGCCGTTGTCTTTTGTCCGTTTCCGGTGTCGGGCCTTCGCTTTATGGGCGCCAAATCTCCGATCATTCCGTTTACAAGGTAAACCAATTAGAAGCCGGAGTAATTGCATGGGATAAGTATAGTATTTTTAGCAGATTCTTGTGTAAACGTTTAGTAATAATTGACTGAAAATAAGGTGTAAACATACCTGAAAAGAAGGAATATAAGGTAGAGTAAATAAAAAAAACAACTTTTTTTAAACTTTTTTCTATTCAAAAAAAATTTTAAAACTATCTCACCCTTTTTCCTTTTTTAATCCACCCTCCAAACCCACATCAAGCTGCTCTGCCATTAACGCCCCGAGGTTTCAAGAACAGCAAGTAGGCTTGTTTTTGGGCTGACCCATCTTAGGAACGCCCCTTTACACTTACAATCAAACTAAGCTACCAGGTAGTTTGATGAGTTATTTAGATAAGTAGACCACAAAATAGATTTCTTTTAACCGTGCCGTAAATTAATGTAGTAAGTAATCATGATAACAAACCATTTGAACAAAAAACCATTAAAACTAAAAATTATTTATTATTCAAATAAATAATGTCAAAAACTTTTTATAAAACAAAATTAGTACAAACCTATAGCCATTTTTACTAAATAAATCAATATCAATGAGCTTTTGAAGCCAAAAACTTATTTTTAAACTCTAACATAAGACAAAAACATATGGAATTCAAAAATTAAACTAAACATACGATATATACAATAAAATCAGAGTAACAATGGTCTAAAATAATACCTTATAGACACCTTAAAAGGCTATATCTTAGCCTTAAACAAATATAAAAGAATAACTTATTCATGATCACACAAACTTTAAATCATACCTTATAAACCGTTAAACAAAAGACAATATCAAATGAGTTAGTTCATTTTACAATTGGTGTCAGCTTAAACAATCACAGCAATCTCAAAATCTTACTCCAACCCATCAAAATATAAAAAATCGCAAGATAAAACAAAAACCTACTACAATATCATCATACAACTCCGAAAGCTAAATCCCGGCTTGTATACAACAAAAAAAGCAAGAAATTGAAGTATCATGATCTAATAGTTCCATACAATAGGATACTTTGTTGTTATAGACCCATACAACAACTTCATCATGCTAATACCATCCTACAAACCCCATCACGGCATCATAGTATCATTGTTTCCTGGTGTGAAAGCTCTCGATTTAGCCAGCGGTGTAGCCGCGAATGAGTGGAGTTGTTCAGCAAACGTAGTGGATTGTACTGACTGTTCTAGAGTGTTATCGAATGTCATTGCCGTGCCTGGCCGTGAATTCATCAAGGCTTTTTGGACCGTTCGTCTCGGATCGCTGAATTGGATTTGGAACGTTCTGATGCAATTCCTGAAAGCTTCGAGGTCGGCACGATGAACCAGCTTGATTTCTCTGTCATATTGGCCTTCGAAGTCGACTGCAAAGTTCATTTTGAAGCAGGTGTAGCCTCTTTTTTGTTGTCGAACGTACCTAAAAAAAAAGTAGTATGATTTTGTACTTCAATACCATGGAGGAATAGATATTGTTACCTAAAATTAATCTTAATAACAATTTTATTTTTTTTTAAATTTTTTGTTACGATACGTTGCTTTCAAAATAGATTAAAAACCCTACTTTCTAAGTCTCATTCTCTGTCGTTCTTCTCCATAGTAAACCCATAGCTTAAGTGCTCCATCCGAGACAGTCCTGACACTGCTTAACGATTGCGCTGACACTGATCTCCTCAAATCTGCTGTTAATTTGACTGTGAATACCTGAAAAAACGTTGTTAAACTTCAGACTTTTATGTAATCCAACAAAATCTCAAAATTTTTATTAACTTACATATATGTACCTAAAAAATTATTTTTCCCAAAAAATGAAAAATTTTTAAATTTGATTAAAAAAGGTCAATGTAAAAACAAAAAACACGTAATTTTCTTATATTATCTTTACTATCCAGACTTACCTGCATTTTATTCTTTTGAATGATAACCCGTTGTGGTGTGATAACAACATGGTTCGGTTCGCAGAAGTCATCGTGTTCATTCTTTGGCATTATCGCACAAAACGCTGTCCTAAAACAATATTTTTAATTTTAAAATCTTCAAAAATTCTTTTTAAATTTCAAAAAATTCATTTTACAATTCAAATATTCCCAAAAGCACGCAATTTCTGCCATTTTCAGTTCGAAATTACTTCGAAAATACATGTTTTTCATCAAAAATAATCAACTTTATGTCATTTTCAATTTAAAAACCCTCAAACAACCACCTTTTTTTCATTTTACAACCCCTCTAATTTGGAAAAACATCCCAATCCCCATCATTTCCCACCCAAAAACTACCCCAATACTCACCGTTCCCCAGTGTTCTTCAAAGCAAACGTGAACGAATTAGCTCTTGAATCGATAGTTAGTACTCTCAAGCCCTCAGGGCCTGCCAATAACCTTTCCCCGGCTGACGTTAAGGCTTCTAACATCGCTCGGCCACCGTAGCCATAGCACGGTATTTTATAGACCGTTTCACATAGATTGGTACCTGTTACGATGATTTCTGCGTTATAGACAGCTACGTTTCTTGGTTTGAATAGTACTGAGAACTTGGTGGTGCCTCCGGGTTCGATACTCGTTGTGGATAAGCTTAGTACCTGAAAATTGAATTTTAATACCTAAAAATGAATACAAATGCCTAAAAATGTATTTTAATGCCTAAAAAAGGTTGTTCAGCCTTATACATCAATAAAATTTAGTTACTAATCCAATTTGTTACCTAAATTTAGATTTTTATAAAAGTCATTGCCTAATCACTACCTATGTGAACTAAAAACGTGAAAAACTTAGATTTAAACAATATTGTAACAAAAACAACATACTTTGAAGACCCATCCAAGTTTATAGTCAGTTGGATACTTAATGCTGACTTTGAATTCCAAAGTCCGGAAACTTCTGTTCGTTAATGCCACTTCCAGCACCTTTTCCTGGTCAACATCCACAAAGCCAAATGCTAGTTGTTGTGTGTTCGCCGTAATCTCAGCGCTTCTGAAACGTCATTTTAATACAAAAAGCTTTAAAAAAGCATAATTTTGTTATCAAAGTTGAAAAAAATTTAAAATATTACCTAAAAACCTCAAAAAGAACATAAAATACGAAAGAAAAGATAACAAAACCTCATTTAAATCAACAAAATTTTCAAAAACTGTCATTCTTCATCTACCCTAACTTCCAAAAACCTTACACTTGACTCATAGTAGACGGAGCCCTCGATTGGAACGAGTTGTCGGCCGTTTCGATGGCCGTTCTCATCGTGCACATTGTGTTTGGTGCCGACCTTCCACTTGAACTCGTCTTGGCTGACTTCTGAGATTGAGTATCTTCGGTCTTTTCAATGTAGCGATTGCCAGAAGTGACATCAGCTTGACCGTGAGTGCTCAGGTTTCCCAAATTTGTAACATTTCTACTTGTATTACCGTAAGTTTGAGCATGTTGGTTCTCCATACCGTAACTTCTGGCGTTTAAATTGTTGTTACCGTAACCTTGTGTAGTTTGGTTCCCGGTACCGTAATCTGGAGCACTCATCTTGTTGTTACAGTAGGCTTGATTACGAGAAGATGCATTATGATGAGCATTAGCACTACCATAACCATGAGTACCAGAAGCTACATCAACATACGCACTACCATTGCGAAGACCTTGAGTACCATTACCATACCCACAAGAAGCACCAGATCCATCAGTACGGGCACTCAAATTACCATGGCTATTGGTACTGAAGTTCAAATTGCCACTCAAACTTCTATGTCCTGGTCGTTTTGGAGTAAAAAGAACATCAGCGCGGCTCAATGGTACTTTAAAGACGCCAGTATTCAAATGTTGGTTAATTAAAGAAGGTTGAACAACATCCATAGGTAGCGATCGACCAGACGACTTTGGATTAGGTGATTGAGCGATTCTTGGTGCTAACGAAGATCGAGTTTGAGACTTCTGAAGAGCTTCATCTCTCTGTGAGCGGATTTGATCCAATTCTTGCTTTCTTTCTCTTCTCCATCGCTGTAGTCTTGACTCGTTTTGTGGTACTGGTGGGTTCTGAAAGCAATTTTATTAGATAAAGCATAAGGACTAGAAGAAAAATAGTCTTTACTACGATAATATAAGGAAAGCTATAGTTAATATCAAGTATGACGCGAATGACAGCTCAAAAGACTAGATATACACCATCATATCATACCCAATAGACACACAACTTTATTCAATTAAAAACTTTATTCAAAAAACACCCAACGATAAAACTCAACAATATACAACAACAAACGTACCATTTTGTGCAAAAGACTGTCATTCTTCTGAACCTTGACTTCATTCTCTCTTGTCTTTGAGGCTAAATCAATATCAGTATTTCTAACATTCCGCCTGACATCTGGATCTCGTTTGACCGCTTCATTAGCTCCACAATTTTCTTCGAAATCCAAGACCCTTTGTCTGTCGTCATCGGCTTCTGAAATCCTTCTATCTTCCTCATAACTTCTGTTTCCAATGGAATCTTCTGAATCTGCTCTACGAAGATCAAATCTTTCAACCGGTGCTTCGTCAGAAAAACTGTTTTGTCGGACTGAGTGAACACTTTCTGCAACACTCGTAAATGCCACAGAAGTTGGATTTTCTTGAACAACTTCATCAAATCGAACTGATCTCTTTGGCTCTTCTTGTACCTAAAATAACATTAAACAAACTGTATGTTTTATAAATCTCCAACATAAATTAGTTAAAGAAACAAATAATCAAACCCCACAAAAAGATTTACAACCCTAACTACAATTTTAAAAAAGTTATACCAAAAGTAGTCAATAATTTAAATGACTTGTATAATATCTTAAAGATTATGCCTGTCAAAGAAAAACAAAAAACCAAAAACTCACCTCAGAAAACTTGTGGTTAAACCTATTTTCGTATGCCTTAACCTGTTCTTCCATTGTATCCAATCCAGCACGAGCTAGCGTCTTATCACGGTCATCTACATCAACATCATCGTAGCTCCCAGCCCAAGCTCTTCGATCTCTTTCTTTTTTGGCCTTTACTTCTGGATCATTTTTGTTAGCAAAAGAAATGTTCTTAAATGCATCTGTCAAATCTCTGCGACTGTTTGCAACACGTTCCCTCAGTGGATTCTTGAGATATACACTTGAGAACTTGCTTTCGTCTTTCTCTTTGATTGGAGTCATTGGAGCTCGCATTTTAGTTGCACTGCTTCGTAACGCGTAGCTCGGATAAGCTGGAGCCTCATTTTCGTCGTCAGAATGAACTAAACAAAATATTTTACGTTATTCATCGAAATTATGTTTAAAAGCACCTTATTTTAGGCTAGAAACGTGAAATTATGCCATGTTAACATAAACACCTAGTTCAAACTTTAAACCTTAAAATTAAAAAACAAAAATAAATGTCTTACGTATGCTTTCAGCTTGTGATTCAAACTCCATGCCTTCCGGATCATCGTAGTCATAGTCGTTAACGTCGTCCAGCAGTTCTTCTGCCATGATTAACCAGTTTAAGTGACACCAATAGTGTAAAACGTTACTGAAATTTAAAAGAAACTGTAAATATATAATTGAAAACATATTAAGAACAAGAAAATTGATTTTACACACCGAAAATCACGAAAATCTCGATTATTTCTTTCGAATGGAAATATTCCGCGAGTAAAAATAATGAGACAGCTTATACGATGAAATATGTCCAAACGAAATTTTGAAAATGAGCAAAACACGACTTGTAGATGTCAATTTGTTATAAAATTTTGTAAAGAATACAAAAATCTTAGTGTTGACAAAGATGCAAAATATCAGCATTGACACTACACTTTTAAAAATTTGTTTTTTTTTGATATAGCTCTTTTATGATTTTTATTAATGTTAAAATTCTGTAAAGTATTTTGATAACTAAATTTTTAATAGTACTTATATTGTAAGTTATTTGCAATCAGTATCAACTTCATGTAAACAACAACGCAGTCTGCGCACATTCGGGCGCGAGCCGAAAAACTAATAATTGTCTGGAAAATAAAATAGATGCTTCCTTCCTAGCGATCACTATATACGGCGCTATTAAACCCGCCAAAATTCTCGTGTTTTCTCTGTCTTACATTATTCTTGTGGTTTTTCAAAGATTTTACTGTTTTTGGCCGTTTTGAACCGGTTGAAAATTTAAATACGCTCAATGAACATCCTAAATTAAGTGAACTTGTGAGTAAATTTTGTTCTTTCAGGTTAATATGTGGCCAGAAAAGGCACCCAGGGATCCAAAGTCAGGAAACTTTTTTAGCAATACAATTGATGGATTCTTCAGATATTTCCGCAACATTCAACGTCAACCCGTGCCGCTTCAGATTGGAATAGGAGCATCTGGAGGAATGTAAGTTAATATTTGTGGTTTTATTGTTCAAAATTTAGTGTTACTGGATATGTGTTTACAAGAACATCTAAATTCTTTGCTGCTATGTTGGGATGCACGCTTTTGATTCTACAGGTAAGAGTTCTTGAAGTTTAGGTTGTTTTAGGTATTCACTATGGTTTCGATAGTTGTTAGACATAAAAGTTAATTTTGGCGTAGATTTTTATTAGTTTTTGGTAAAAGATGTATTTTTTGAAACTAGTTAAACTTTTACTTAAGAATTTACTGCCAAAGGCTTCCTACTTTTAACTCAAAAATCTTATTTTAGTTCTTCAACTACCGCGGTTACATAAAGCTGAACAAAAGCCAATTCCAACAAGATCTAGACGACATTACAGATCATTTGAGGTCACAATTGGGTGCAACCAAGTCTTCGTTACCATCCAGTCGCGAACTGGACGACTTTGTAACCAAGAACGCCTACCTTTTCACTGGATTCATTGGAGGATCGTTGATTGGTTACGGATTCGCGTAGTTTAACTACATCTGCCTACTTCAGGATTATTTTGACGCATCAGTACTGTTATTAGCTTAAGAATGACTGGATGTGGCATATTCAACACAATATTTAAAAAAATAGAATTGTAGTCGTTACATTAGCATTGAATCTTCATAGTATGTTTAGCTGGTATTCTGAACAACTTTCATAACTTTTAATTGCTTGTTTTTACATTAACTTTGATTTTTTTTGCGAATAAACTGTTTTAGCGATGAGTAATTTTTATGCGTATATTAATGGTTTTAAAGGTCATATCTTTACTGAAGACATACATTTTTTGTTTGTGTGGTTATATTGGGTACGGTTTGCTTTATACTATGTTATTTTTTGTCTGATGGTTATTATTTTAAAAGAATTTTGGGCAAAAAACATTGACATCCGCGAATAATGTCTTCTTGCTCTTCGCTGTTATAATAGTATTTTCTGTATTGTAAAACAATTATTTAAGAAATGACAGTCTTTACGACAAAAAGCCACTTAACCTTGCATAAACTAACCACCTCAAACTTTATTTTTTCCACTTTTTTTCTTTTCTCTCGCCCTCTCTCTTTCCAAACACTATTTCCTTCGTCTTGCCGAACGTTTTGTTCGAAATTGTGTTTGCGTAAATAAAAAAAAATTTCCGAACACCCAAATAAAGGGCCAGAAAGGAGGAGAACACTCGAGGACATCACGTCTTGACGGAAAATTAACTTTTCTCGACGTTTATGAAATGTCTGTTCTATGTCAACATGTGGGAGTGAAGGGCAGGGTATTTTGGGTGTTTTTGAAGGATGAAAGGATTTGTGAGGTTAAAGAGGGCTGTCTTGTTTAATTTGATGTTGTGGTAGATAAAAAAATGGCATATTGGTTAAGAAAGTGAAATGGCTTTGTGAGAGATATGAGACCGGCCGTTCTTAACATTAAACTTATATATTGAGTTAGAGATTTAGCATAGATCGGTAAAAACTGAGATATTTAGTATAGAAAGGTAACTCAATATTCTTGTAGCAATAGAAAACGAATTTGTCGCGAAACTTTTGAGCTTTTGGCCTTTTCTGTTTATCATAACTCGTTTCCATTGTCTATGCAAGTTTGTAAAGCCTAGGAGGAAAGAATTGTTGAAAGCACACGAAACAATTATTGGCATATAAAGGGGTTTTTGTGGGTTTCTAAAAAAGCAAATTTTTTTTAAAGCAATGACAGTTTAGGTAAATGTCTAAAGCAGGGGTATTGTGAGGTAAGGCAAGAGATAATAGAGTAGGGTATAGCAGGGTAAAGAAGGTTAGGGTAAGGTAAGGTGGTATAGGATAGCTTAAGGTAGGGTAGGGTACGGTACGGTACGGTAGGGTAGGTAGGGTAGAGTGGAGTAGAGCTGAGTACAGTACAGTACAGAAAATTAGATTAGAGTAGAAAAGAGTACAGTACAGTATAGTAGAGTACAATAGATTAGGGTAGGGAAACGGCATAAGATTAGTTTTAGAAACATACAGTATTCTAAATTTAATAAAAAATGAATTTCTAGAGGCAGACTTTGTTGTTGTCTCTACGGACATTTAATGAATGTCAGTAACGAACAGTACTTTACATAATGAGCTGTTAAACCTACTGATTGACAGTAAATAGCATAGTTGACGTTACATTACTAAAAGTATGTTGGTTTAGCACATTTATTGCTGTTTTTGTTTGTGCTCTTGTTTTTGCCATTTTTGGCCTCCTCAATAGCTATTTGATGAAATTACAGATTTTTTTATTGCTCAGTAAATTCAGGGTATAATCAACATCAATTCTTTAGACTTTACACGTATAATCTTCATTTCCTAATCTTTTAAAACTTGTATTATCAACAACAACATGTTTTTGTGTCTATCACTTTATCATTGTTTACAGTTTTTTTCGTTCTAGAAAAAGTTGATGAAAGTTACAATTAATTTTGGTTTCGGTTGATATGTTAGTTTGATGAAAACAAGATAATTTGTGAAATGATTTATTAATATTACCATATTTATAATATTTATAGTTAGTATAATGTAGTAAGAAAGTCTCTGCCCTACCTTAGCTTTGTTTGCCTTGCCTTGCCTTGACTTGCCTTTCCTTGCCTTGTCTTACTCTGCCCTGGTGTGTCCTACCATGCCTTGACCTGTCTTGCTTTACCCTTCTCTGCAATTTTCTGCTTTGCCCTGCACTGCTTTGTCTCCTCCTTGCTTTGTCTAACTCTGTATTACCCTGTCATTATTCTGATTCACCTTAATACTTTATTTTGCCAATTCCAGACATACATTATCATAACCAATATGGTTGTCACCATTATCGATTGCTTTCCTTATCATTTAGCGAAGGTGCTTTAGCAGGTTATGATTAAGCGTTTTAATATTTTTGTTTGGAGGTATTGACTTGATGGAATGAGGTTTTGCGCTCAGTTTGTTCACAAGGTTTCATTCGTATTGTTAACAATATTTTTATTAGTTTTCCGAAATTTAAAATGGAATTTTAAGGGTTTTTAAAGGTTGGTTTGAAATATGGAATGACTAATTTAAAATTTTGGGGTTAGTGGCGTAGAGGGGAGGAGGTATGCACGAATGTTGGGATTTAAAGGTGAAGAAGGGCTTAGACTTTGCTTGAACTTAATGTAAAGATATATAACCTAGGGTAAGATAACATTACTGCGGTTGAGTAGAGTAAGTTGGGACTATGGGTTGGGTGTGGTACGGTAAGAATAATATGTTGAGCATTATGTGTAGGGTAGACTAAGGCTAAGGATGTTACGGTTCAAGTAAGCGTAAGTTACTGTAGGGTAGAGTAGGGTAGGGTAGGGTACTTTAGGGTACGATAGTATACAGTAGAGTAGGGTAGTGCAACTCCTTTCGTCTCTTAAACCAAAATTCCCTTTACAAAAACCCAGAAACATTGTAATTCCAGAAGAAAACCATCAATTCCGTCGTGCCGTTCTGTTGTAAACCGTTAATAAGAGGGTTAGCACATTAGCGATTGATGAAACGCTGCTTCTCTGATTTTGTTTTTTACGAAATCAACCGCCGAAAATATTTCTACTAATTTTTCAACTCGATTACGACGTTTTTTTGGGTTTTCAAACGTTTCATTCCAAATTTCATGTGACATCTGAAGCTTGACTTCTGTGTTTTTGCACTTTTCACTTTTGGGTTGAGGTTTTCGTAAGGTTTTGATTGGAGAAATGCCGGTTTTTGGTCGATTTTTGGTAATATTTTTTTATTTTGTAAATATAATAGTTTTCAATTTAAAATTTTTTTTAAAAGAAAGTATTGTTGTTGTAGTTAGTGGCACGTTGTGAGAAATGCCTACCCTTACCCTTGCCTTGCCCTGCCTTTGCCTTGCCCTTGCCCTGCCTTTGTCCTGCCTTTGCCCTGCCTTTGCCCTGCCTTTGCCCTGCCTTTGCCTTGTCTTGCTTTTGCCCTGCCTTTACCTTGCCTTTGCCCTGCCTTTGATCTGCCTTTGCCCTGCCTTTGCCCTGCCTTTGCCCTGCCTTTGCCCTGCTTTTGCCCTGCCTTTGCCATGTCCTTGCCTTAACTTTTTCCTGCCGTCCTTCTCTTCCCCTACCCTGCTTTGTCTGACCTTTAAGAATGAATTTGTTACCTAAATCACAAAGGCCAAACCTTCAACTTTCATTTGAGCAATAGATAAGCTCGGGAATAAACAGAATGTGAGCTGAGTTTATTTATAATGGGAAAGAGGATTAATCGGTTAATTAAATAAAACGCGGGTAACTTGTTTGATTTACAGAGGAGCATTTTGATTATTCGGCGTGAGTAGGTAGGGTAGTAGTCCGTGGTTTTGAAGCAAGGGGTGTGTTGAGTAGTTATGGTCTTGAAGGAAAAGGTGTCTTCAGTTTTCGTGGCTTTAAAAGAAGGGGTGTTTTTTGAAATTGTTGGTCTGGGAAGTTGTATTCTTTGTGGTTTTTGTGTCTATAAGCTTAAAAATGGCTGTTTTATAACATTTTTTCTGAGTTGGGAACGAAGTCAAACGACTTATGCTTATTTTTTATATGATTTTTTCTCACATTTTTATAAAGTTTTATGAAAAGTTTTCACCATGAGTTTACAAAGCATATAATGATATGTATTGCCTAAAAAATCAAGTTAATATTGGGTTTTTGAAAAAGACGAAAATCAAAAAAAGTTCGATTCCGCGTGGAGACATGACCTTTTTTCAACATGCCATTTACTAAAAAAGGCATTTTTCGTTACCTCCATCCTACCTACTAATTAAAAATAGTAAAAACTATACTTAAATCTCTATTTTATGTCAATAAGGAAGTAGGAACCATAGTATTTTCACTCCCATCTTCATACCCATGTACTGAAGGCTGTTTATATGCATTCAATCCTGAATGTGTTGAGGTTATTATTCATTGTTATTCACAAGAAGAATTGCAGTTTTATGCATTTTTTCTTTTGGGAATTCCTGGCCAAATATAATATTATCTTTGACGTCTAATGTGTTTTCGGGGCCAAATGGATCTATGATAATATAGGTCTGAGTGGGCTTGATGGTGGATATGGCGGGTGGGGGAGGGTATGAGTTGAGTTTTAGGGATTTAGTAAAGGATAGAATTATGATTTGTGGTTTTGGCAGTGGGTATGGATGGGCGATGACATAATTTTAAAATTTTTTCAAAAAATTTTTGTTTTAAAAATTACAGTATGACTTACTGTAGCCTTAATCATTTTTTATCTTGAACATTTTTAACTTTTTTAAAACTGCATTATAATTTCTGCAAAACGTGTGTTTCAGCTGCTGTTTTGTCACTTTTTGGTGCTATTTCCTTCTCATCTAATCAATCAGAATCCGCTCGACCTCGTGAGAACGGCATTCTCAAAGAACTTTTAAAGGACGCGTCCAAACATTAATATAACTTTTTATACAAAGTAATGTAAAAAAGAGGAAATATGTTTTTGGGATGGCATTAGGGGCTTTCTTTTTGCTTCGAACTTAGGCTAAGCTTGGGCTAAGGCAAGAGT